AAGGACAAGGGTGGGAGAAAGTTGTGCAGTCAACTTCAAGTGTAGTGCGTGGTAATTTCAGAGCTTGGGAAGGTGTGATCGGCTGACTGGTCACGTGAATCGCCAGTCGCCAATACTAAACCTAGACACAATAACTTCGGAGTACTTGTAAAATTGCACAATTTTCGTAAAAAAATGCGAATTTCATAGGTTAAGGAAGTACTAAAGAATGTCATTTAGAAAAAACCAACCAAAACGGCAGCAGTTTTCCATTAATGTGCACAAAGTTGTATAACCTATCGTCAATGGCATTCAAACACAGGACCCTGAAGAACACATTCGGACACTAAAATATTAAGAATTACGGTGGAAAAAACGCCGAAGGTGTGGATGGATTTAAATCATCCAGGGCAGACCTTAAGACATCAAAAGTTTTGTGCCATTCTTGGTTGAGCTAATCACTTCATTTAAGTACAATATTTTACCAAAATAAAATCAAGACCAATAATTTAGCATTTAGGTCCAAGGAAGTCGACACTAGTAGCGGAACTCGAGTGGTTAATATTGTAATTATTGAAATGTAAACAATAATTTACTAGTTAGTAGGTAATTCTCTTAAATGCAACATAACAACTGCAGCTGTTTTACGTCTACGCTCTACTAAACAGGTGTTTGTAAATATTAGCCCACTGGGGAATGCAAATTACATTTACAAACGGGGTGAAAATTCGAGCGTTGTTTGTCTTTTTATTTTTTTAGACAATAATCATCCAATCATAAATGCCTGTGAGCATTTATAAATTTACAAATTCGTATTTAACAAAATGCTTGCCGTGGTTTTATGAAGCTGTAAATTTCCTTGAATTTTCCTGCATCGGAAATGCCTTCCATCTGTTACTTCGTGCGAAATAAAAAAAAGACTGTTGAAATATAATACTCACTCATTTTATTAAAAATACAAATTGCTTAAAACTTACAAAAAATGTAACACCACCATAATAATTCATTTAACAGTGTTTTGATGGATGCAGTGCACTCACAATTTTAAAATATGTAGATGACATTTATAGAAAAAATGTTTAATGGTGAATCATAAATAATTCGACCGAAATAGCCTGTAATTTTTTATCCTGAAGACAGAAATATTCCAGTAGCTCGGGGATGCGACATTGTGGCTGAGTTGTGCGTTCACATTTGCATGTGTTCGCCTTATCTTGATAGGGCAAAACCCTGAAAAAAAGAGGGTTGTCGAAACCGCTTCGCTCATGAAAAAATTTTTGCATTCCACATTTTGCCTGAGTATTCGCAGTTTTGACGAAGGGCCATGCTTGACTCAAGTTACATTGCAAAACGTCGCGCCTGATAGGAAATCTCATTTAACACAACACGATTCAATTGTAAAATATAATTTGCAATTCCCAAATCAATTTTGTTTTTGATTCCAATGTCAAAGTTCAAATGGGCTGCTACAAGTTTAGCAATGAGCTATTTGGTTACTGCGAGGCTACGTGGCAGAGGCGTGTTCGATGGCATTCCACTGCGATTCCTCCACTTTCCGTCTTTCACTTTTGCGTTTCAACTCAATTCAAAATTTGATCTAGGAGAGGTTGGCTTAGAAAAGACGTTTTGCATCTATTTATGTCGAGCTTAGAAGTGCAGCCAAAATGTTTTTCAATTCACGATTCGTAGTTGTTTGCGAAATCACAAATATCGGATGGTCAGCCAGAGCGACTCTTATCGTTTACATTGTATCTTTTACCTGTTTTTGTGCTTATATAATTCAACTCTGATATCTTATTTATTTAAATGCAAACAGAGATTTCATTGAAATGTAACTGTCTAAAGGACACATTAAATTTAATTACCAAACCAGCTCAAGTGTTTAAAACCATTTGAATAAGAGCCGCATCCAACTAATGAAATTTGACTTTCCATACCTCTAAGTATAGTAATGGCTGCACGTCAGTATCTAATCGAAACCAAGAGATCAAATTTATCTGGCCAATTCATATAATTGCTATTACGATATCAGGGATAATCAACCCCAACAATTAGGATCATTTGGTCACTAACCAATGACTAATAAATTAGTTAGTTTTTGACCAGTAACAACTATTTGATTAATTATAAGCTCCATTTAGCTCAGAAGTGAGTTCTCTTCACAAAATGACAACTCACCACTTTTATCAGTGGTCGCACACACACACTTGAAATTAAGAATTTAAATTTAAACGATTGATAATGCAAGGAAAGTCAGGACTTCAGTACATTTTTCGCGCAGCTGAAAACTGGTCTGTTTTATGAACTATCAGTACATAAAGAGCACTTTGCGATTTCAAATCGACCAAGTGTCGCATCAACGCATTCAAGGCATTTTAAAGTGTACCGAGTTCTTGTGCTCGAGGATAATTTTTAGTAGCTTGTGTTTTAGCACTACCTTACAACCCTCTGGTTGACAACTCATAACAACCTGAGAATGGAGTGTAGAGAGGCAACAGCGGATACGGCCGTTTATTAGCGTCACGCAAGCCAAGTGTGTGGATGAGTGAGGGTATGACAGGCGTCTGATAACAGTAACCAATGGAAAGGGCATGGGTTATTGTCTCCGTGTGGTCAGTAAGCAGGGTTCATTCAGGCGCTACAAATTCATTTTGCAAGGTTTGTGTGCAGTGTCTTAACCTGTGCGAGGCAGGAATGAGTCTGGTTGTTTTTCGATTCTGGGAGATCATGCATTTGTGCAGGCGCGAAACCCGAGTTAATTTGGATGGTACTTCCCCACAGCTAACGCCTGCACGTGTACTGTACCTTGGGTGAAACGAGATATCATTGTTGTCGACGTATTACTACTTAATGTGATACCATAACGCGATAACAGTACTTCCTCAGGTAACCAGTCAAGTTTCAGCTGGTTTGATAACGACCTTCAGATATCGTGTTTGCCCCTTAAATTAGCTATGTGTGTCTAAAAATCCGGATCACTGCTTTTAAATAAGTCTTTTTTTGTGAAACAAATAACAATACTTCAAAATAACCCAGCCACATATTTATTTTTGAATCAAATTTAACGTTTCACCAACCCAACGCTAAAAATTGTGAATATGATGAAGAATTTTAGTTAAAAATGTGCGAATAATTAAAATAATGCGCAAAAAATTATGAGTGGGCCACTGTACGTGGTTCAGATTTGTCGAAATACTTGTTGAGGGCACCGGCATGAGGTTTCGGATCGCGCCGAGGCCGCTGCGATGAATCTAGTCCGATTGCGATGCCCTGGTATCCGCGGAGGTAGAGAAGACTGGAGAGGGTGGGGCAAAAGTGTTTAATAGATACCTCAACCAAGTTTTGTGGCGTCATATGTGTGTGGAGCAAGCGCAGCGCATGATTCAATTGTGCTTGTGTGTGATACAGCCTGGGTAAATAACTTACAGTTCAGACGTCCGAATGGTCGGGTGGAAAATGCAGGTAGTAGAGGTATATGCACAATCACTGTCACCCAATGTTTACACATTTCGAAATTTCTTTTTTTTATTAAAACCAGAGTAACAAATAATTTTTATGCAAACGGAGACGTTGCAGGTGAAGGCCACTGACAGCTATTCAAAGACTTCCAAGGTTTGGATGGGTATAACGTGGTTATATTGTCATGGCAGCAGATGAAATCTTTTCGACCAACAGAAACACGATGCACTGCTTGGATTACAACACAGTACTTCTCTGCACTTCTTGCTTAGCAGCGCTGAGTAAACTAGTGCAATATGCTATCTGTGCATTCCCGCCAGCGGACACTTGACAGCGCTTTCTTAGGATGCAGCAATTCAGTCTGTGTCTTGTACTCTAGTCCTTATCTCACCTGCTTCCTGGCTGCTTTTTTTACCTTGGTCAAGGAATGGCTTGTTTCACTAACACCACCTGCACGAAATAACTGTGCAAATATGATTCAGTTCGTCACTTTCTGTCAAGCCGTCGAAAACGATTTGCTGTGTTCCTACGTGTACTAAACTCGCTCTAATTAATGAAATGTGGTTGAATTGTCAGGAGTTTAGCGCTTAGCAATGTCTTCAGTTGTAATCCATTGACTATTATTCAAGAGAGATCAAACCGCAGATTAAGTCATTATCAATGCTGAAATGTTATCTTAAACAGTTTTCGCCGCTTTGATTGAGGTCAAAAGAGCAGTATTTGATTATTTTTGCTTACTGTTCCATCACTCTGACCCTCTGCAGAAAATGGCTGTTTGCTTAACCATTTTAAATTTTACCCTTGATCACGTATCAATTTAAACAAAATATTTATTGGAGGTTAATTTGACGTACGATGCACTGAAATATCTGTCAGCTAGTAATTCGACTTCAAAACAAACACCAACTATGGTTATCGTACGTTCCTCTGTAATTTAAAAAAAACTGTCACGATTTGTCTTAATCTCCTAATATAAATAATCACAAATGTAAACATGCCTACAATGGATAAAAAGTTCTTAAATAATACTGTAAATCTATTCGAGTCTTCGGCGTTCACATTTAAATAAGCAACTGTGGACACTTTTTAAAACAGCGAAAATGGCCATAAATGGGGAAAACTACTTATGGCAAAGTTAGAGCATCACAAGTTGACTTCAGAACTTCAAAGCTGCCTTTTGAGTTGACTAACAGTTAACCGAAAATCAACATAACTAAAACGATTGGCTGTACGTTTATAGTTTTCGGTAAAATGGTGATATGAGTTTAAGGGAAAAATTTTAATGCGGTCTTATGTGTTCTCATAAAGCCGTGTGTTTGTACGTCTACATAAACTGTCGTCAATGCAAATGAATGAGACAATTTTTTGCATTCACGAAAAATGCCCACCTTGTAAATGCCTAATAAATTTTGGCAATCAGGGAATTAAAGTCCAGTTAACTTTTGAACTGTGATTCCTTGCAAGCAGTTTGGGTTAGAAGACTGTCAGTCTTTATCATATGAAATACTTATTTCTTACAAATAGACAAAAATAGCAAAACAAACGAAAGGGGCATGCGAATTTTAGTTGTGTCGCCGACGGCTTCGCTGTCGATGTGTCATTTTGACACGGCAGCAGCAACAGCAGAGCACAGTTTCTAGGATCTCCTTCCTGTAATTTTCATTCAGGTAGCCGTAGAGAAGGGGGTTAACACAGCACGAGAAGAGGACGCACAGAAGGCAGAAGGATTGGATTAGGGTTATGTGACGCGCACCCATAAAGCGACCTTCCATCGCATCATCAAGGGTTCGATTGCGCGGCGCCAACGTTGCCGACGACTCCTTGTAATCCATGATGATGTTCACGGCGTGAAGGGGCAGCCAAGAAAGTACAAAAACGAGGGAGACGCAGGTCAAGAGGAGATTGGCTCGCCTCTGTCGCTTGAGATGGCAGTGAATGCGGTCTTGCTGTTTCCTCCGCTGTGACGCCAAGGACATTACGTCGTCGCCCCCCTGTCCAGACGGCATGTTGGCGCTGACCGAGCGACTCGGGAGGTCACCGACCTCCAGGAAGGTCCGATGAGGATCGTCGTTAATGGAGAGAACATCCATTCGGTTGACGCCAGGACCTGCAATCACCGTCGCCAGTTGACTGTTCTTTGTCCGCGCGCTGGAAAGCTGGCGAATTCGTGTACAAATTCGGATGTAGACCGCGACGAGGATTACTATGGGAGCGACGTACTGGCAGAGAAGGGTAAAGATACCGTAGGCATACTTGAACCGCTGAAGCCGTGGATTCTGAAGGGAGGCCTCGATGCAGACAAGTCGTGGCGTCGAGGTTTTCACAATCGTGAGACCCGTTGAGACGGTGGAAAAGGCCAGCATTGGCGTGGCCATCAAGAATGCTAGAAGCCAGAGGCTTGGAAGGACGAATAGTGGACGATTCCAAATGCGTTTGGAATGGAACGGGTGAACTATAACCTGAAATATTACCGACAATTTAGATGACCCATGAGTGAGCTTTAAAAGCATGATGCATACGAAAAGAATGCTCCTTTAACTAATTTAATTTGAAATTTCTGCTGTTAAAAATAGTAGATTAAAATAGAAAACAAAGCAGCATTTTCCTACCCTGATATAAACATTTGAGTTAAAAGTGTAGAAGGGTAAACATAATAATTGATCTAGGATTTATCGAATATTTAAATTAACTCATATATTTGTCTTGTCCAGACATAATATTAGTTTTTTTTAATTTGATTAGAAGAAGCGCGCGTAATTCACTACTGTGTGGCAACGGCACCAGGTCAGATCTACCTTGCAAGCTCATGAAGCTTCTCACAGCACCATTCCTAAATCATCTTCATAGATCTACGCGATTATGCAGTAAGGCGTGGACTTTGATAGTCTTGCCAGGGTCTGATCGGGTTTGGTCAAGCCAATTTGTCCACATTTTGATTATTTATGACTTTAGACGACTTCAGAAGGGGTGATTTTAAAGTGCAAAACACAGACACAAGTATTCAATCAGGTGTGGGTCAGCTAGCAGAGAGAGCACGCTGATTGGTTACTTCGCGAGATGCCAACACACCTTTCACAGATGTGATAGTGTGTGTGGGTTCGCAGTGCTCGTGTATTTTTAACGAGTTTTGTATTGTGAACCCTGTAGGAAGGGTAGTGTCCTACTAGATTGATTTCAAAGTTATTGCTAGTTTTGACTACTTTCTAGCTTTGATTGGTCACCACTTAAGAGCCATTCAACAAGCATAAGGACAGTAATGTAGCCTACTGCCTTAACAAAACGCGATAAGGCAAGTTCTGGCAAACTTTAAGGAAGCAACAGCCATCCTCAAAATGCGTTCTTAGATCCCAATTATGCTATGCTATCATTATCTTTACTATTAAATTAATCCCCAGGCATTCAATTCGTAGAATATTAGCCAAGGTAGCCAAATTAAAGAATTACCACTTCATTTTGATGCCATTACTAATGCTTTTGCTTTAGCTACGAAAAATTTAAATAACGCAACCTAAAGGATGCAGCCAGAATGATCACCCTTATGGAAAAGAGTCCATTTATAAAATTTTCCTCAACTAGGCGCTTGGCAATAAATTTTGCCGGTGGCACCGTTTCATGCAAAGATTTTAAACGAAGAATTACTTTTACTTTAGTGACTGAGTTTATGGCTTGGTGGGTGGAAAATTGTCCAAGCAAAAGAGACTAGACAGGTCTCCAGTGGTTTCAGATTAGAGATTGCAGGAAAAGCAGCTCACGAAAAGTCACTTTCGTTTTTTTCCAACTCATACACACCCAAATTCCAGATGTTACTTGGCATTGTCAATTGAGCATCGTCTAGTTTGCCTTCCTATCACACTCTGCAGGTGCATGGGTTTTGAGTGTGACGGCTGATAAAGACTAAATTTCCGTATGTGGACTGTATTTAAATGCACGCCGACAGCCAACACCCATTGAATTAGGCCCAATGAGCCACCCTGCCTAATTGGCAAGTGCGCATTGCAGCATGCAGCAAGATATCACCAGTCAACGCTTTCCCAATCAGCGCAAATCAGAGCTCGACCACAACATGACATCCGAGCGAAAGGGCATGACGCCGTAAAGCATCGTAACCATGACGGCCAGCTCTTGGGCAATTGGTTGTGTGTGAAAATGTTTAATACGTCATCACGATGGTCCACAGCTGAACCAAACTATGGTGTGTTTCTCGACACTACTTGACACTAATTTAAACCACGTCAAGCTGAGCGTGTAACCTGGCCTCTTCAAGTCGAAACCACCTAGGTCAACCGCAGCAAACTCTCAGTACGCCTGTTCTTCAGCCTCATTGGCCATCCGCTACATTAAGGGTAACTCAAAAAACCATAGGAAATAAACCACCGTCTTTCGATTTTGCTATTACGCACGTGCACTTAGAGGGCTTTGTTGCCATCTAATTGCATTCAATTCCACCGATCATCGTAAAAGTGCACTCAGTTGCCCAAACCCCATCGCTCATTCAACAAACGTGCAATTAGTGCTGCCGAAAGTGGCCAGTTTGCGCTGTACTCACTTCCCAGTCAATGTGAGAATGCTTTGAGGAAAACCAATGACACGCAACCAGGAAGGCTGTTTAGGATCGTCTCAAGCATTGCCCGATAATTCAGCCGAAGCTAAGACGTCTTCTGACTTCGACGAACAAACCATTGGGCTTCTGCCTAACGTCCAGAGTCCAGAGTGTTTGCCTTCCAAAATTGTTGGAGCAATTGTGAGTTTGAGTGTCTGCAACTTGACATCCACGTGATGTTTGGTTTGCTTAGAATGCGCCTTCAAAGTGTTTGACTTCGAGAACTCTAAGCAAACAGTTTAAACAGCGCTGAGTGGGGAGTGATCGCAGGAAGTGACGGGTGTGTTTGCTCATCCACAGACATTCAACAGTTGTTTGCCTGCAAAACGAATCACTTTCAGTCAGCTAATCCTGCGCCAGCTGGTTTTTAGCACTCAAATTCACGAACGACGCGTTCCATCTACTCTCAAATGGTCATTGTCTTGTATCCAACTTTAATTAAGCAAAATGTCAGTGTGTGAACATAACGTATTTATTACATCCAGGTAATGATTCGATATTTTATGGGTGTTTGTCGATATCGATTAAGCGAATCGGGCTTCGACCAGGACCAAAGACTGCACTAGTTCAAGCATGTGTGCTCATGTGTGAGCTGTGTAATATAATAATGGTGGTGATTCGATCTTCATTTCAGCCAAAACCGCAGAAGGTTGTTGACTGGTGTCCTAGCTAGGTTTCCTCAATAGAAGAGCGTAACTTTAGCATTCGCTTAAGTCGAAAGTACGTGGTCGTCCCAAGGAACTATTACAAACATGATTGTCAATACCTGATATTCTAACCAATCAGAACCTGATGATTGTTCTTATCCTCATTCTGATTTGTCAGGAAATGAGTTGTAGTCTCACTGTAAATCCGATAACTTATTGGGCCACAAGAAGCCACTTTTTTCTTCTGCAGGAATAATTATTAGTCACAGGCTTGTTTATCTTGCTAGGAGAGTATGCTCTGTAACTTTTAAACTTTTTTAATTTGTTTTAAATCTTAGTAAATTCCAAGACGTATATACTTAATCACGTTTGCTAGGGTCGTTGTATTATGTGCATTTTAATACTGCAACGCCTGTAATTCTATTGACTTGATTGACAAATATACACTTTTAACAATATTAAACACGAATTAAAAGCACCAATCGTTTTGCTACTTCTGTATGAACCTGAAACACTTTCAAACTGTGGAAACGGACCTTATTGTTTTTGAAGCAAGTTCAACTAGCAAATCCCCAGCACGGCCGTTTTTATGATTAAAAAAATTGTCATTTTTTAATCCCGAGGATTTCTGGTGAAGTAGTCAGCAACGTCTACCACATAAACTCTCGTGCTGTTAAAAACCTCGGTGGATAAAACAATTGTGCAGCTGTTCGACATTGCTATCACTGGAAGTCTTCGCTATTTTGCGAGGTCTGCACTGTTGACGCAATGGAACACCACAATATATTTACAGCTCTGGTGCGACAGATCTGCGGGTCTCAAATATGGTAACAAGTTATATAAACGGTGTAATTTGAGGAATACGCAAGGCGAAAATTACGTTGTGTAAGACTTGCGTCTGGAAAACCCATAAATCTGTAAACTGCCACCGCTTTGAATCTGATTTGGCGACGTTGGCTAAGGGTAATAAAATAAAACTCCAGTTCGAGTTGTAAGTTTGGTCAACTCAGAACGACAGATGTGCTGGCCAGTGACGGTGGCCTGAATATTCACCCCTACGGAGCTTGCCACCTGTCTTCAATTGTGGCGAGCAGCAAGTGAACCCAGTAATCGTGAACAAACATGATTCTATTGGTTTACGTGAATGCACTTTACGTAAATGTGTTCGTTCAGGGATCAGTGTGTAGCAGTTACTATATTAACTGACTTTTTCCGTTGTAAACTTACACACACCACTATAGTATCAATAAATAAGTTGAGCTACGTACCATCTGGGTCGGTTCGTGTCAGCGTGGATTGTTGGCACTGGTGTAGTTTTCAAAACCGCACCGGGAGCCGCAACGCAATAAATGTGAGTGAGTACGGTAGTTCGTGAGATAGCGGCAACTAGACGAATTCATTAGCCCAGTCTGTAGTAGTTAACGCGTTGCTTTAGTAAAACGACGTATTAAAAAGTTGAAAATGTCAAAGACATCTTGAAATTAGTTTGGATTTTAGTACGAATTTTTTTGGATGTCATTGAAAGCTCGTCTTATTGGACGTCACCAACTACAAGTAAATGCAGCAACGATAAACAAATTGTCCACCAGGCCTCAGAATTAGTGCTTTTAATAGGTATTTGGCAACAAAAGCATGGTCCGAAGTGAGCATTGAATGAATGCGCAAAGTTTGAGCCTTGTGGCAAATGCCGAAAATTAGACAAACAACGCACAAATAACCAAAATACGAGCACACAGGATGCCATTATATCGTTACTTTTGTTGGCGCTAATTTTATCACAACATGAGCACCACAACACGCCTGCAGTCAGTTTTTATGCCGTTCTGCAACATGCCTGGCTT